ATTAGATAATAATATATTTTACATTTCCTTAAATACTGAAAAAATGAAATGAATAAATACAAATTTTTGTGTCAAAAATAATATGTAATATACAATACAATACATACATATAAAAATAAAATATTGAAAATACAAAAATAAATAATATACTACTTTTTACAAAATAAAAAATTAAACAAAAAATTAGAAAATTTATAAAAAAAATTTAATTGATATGAGGTGAGAAAAATAAACTAATTTTAAAATCCTATAATTAAAAAGCTTAAGAAATGTAATTTAAAAAAAAATGAAATGAAATTAAAAATTATTAAAAAAAAGCTAGCAAATGCACTAGAATAAAAATGGTTTAAAAAACAGAATCAAATAAAAAACAGAAAATGAAAATTATAATGAAATGAAAAGTAATACACTATAAAGTAAAAAAATTCAATTAAATAAGAAAATTATAATAGATTTAATATGGACAAAAAATTTATTTATAAAAAAACACGCAAAAATTGGTTTGAAATAAATAAAAATAAGAAAAAAATAGAAAAAAGTGTTAAAAGGAGAAAACCAAAAAAAAAATTTATATTACAAAAGTATAAAAAACAAAAATAATAATAATATAGAACTACTAAATAATTTTAATACAAATAATAATCGATTTATTAAATAAAAAAAGTTATAAATATAATAAAAAAGGAAAAATTATAAATATTATAATAAAGGTAAAAAAAACTAAAAAATTATATGTTAAAAATTAAAAAAGTTAATAAAGTGAACTAAATTAAAAACAGATATTTGTAAAGAGTAAAATATCTTTTAAAAAACTCAGAAAAATAATGTAAATTCTTAACTATCCAAAAAAAAAATTAAAATTAAAATTTAATTTTAATAATTTTTATATTTTATAATTAATTGCTATAAAAAAATTAAGAAAGGTTTAAAAAAAATACAACAAAAGGTTTGAAAGGAAAAAAACAAAAATATGAAAAATAATAAAAGTCGTAAGACAAAACACCAAATACACGTTTCGCCAACATTTTTTCTTTCTCTAACTTGCTTTCCTGTATCAAAAAACCTACTTACTGAGTGCTTTAATTAATTAAATATATACCCTTTCCTTTTTCCATGTAATTTTACAGCAGTTGATGAATAAATCTATAGCTGTTTAGTTTAAGAGGCAAGTGTAACCGCGATCGGTTTCGGGTTCAGCGCTGTCCGTTTTACTCATCGGTTTGTTAGATTTTTCGATTACCCCTCAGTAGGGTGCTCTTGGGCGGAAAGTGGGTAACGCTGGGTTCAACAAAAAAAAAAAAAAAAAAAAAAAAAAAAAAAAAAGAATAAATAACATAAGAACAGAAAAATATGAAAAATAATATGAAATTATGAAAAATAAGTTTTAAATTTAATATAATACATAAAAATATAAAAATTTAAATAAATATAAAAATTTCTATAATAAAAAAAATAAATAACATCAGGACAGAAAAACTTGAACACTATTATAAAATTATGAAAAACTATAAGAAACAAATATAATCAATGTGTTCAAATTAATATGAAAGAATATAAAAATTATAAAAAAAATTTCAAAAAAAAAAAAAAAGTAAATAACCTAAGAACAGAAAAAAATGAAAATGAATATGAAATTATGAAAAAATAAAACACAAATAAAATAAAAGTTTTAAATTTAATATGAGAATATATAAAAAAGGAAAAAAATTAAAAAATTTTAAAAATAGGAAAAAACTAAAAAGGAAAAAAAGAGAAATAAAATAAAACAAAAAATAAACGAAAAATAAAAATGACTTCAAAGAAAATTAAAAAAATGCATATATAAAAAATATTAAATTAAATTTTTTTTTAATTCGAATTAAGAAAATGCGAGCTATATTATAAAATAACACTTACAGCTATAACAAATAATTAGTTTTCAGTACTTTTTCGCTTAATTCAAGTTGAAAAGAAAATTTTGAATTTTTTCATAACACTTTTGTAAATGGGAAAATATAAATAACTCTGTAACGAAATTGTGATTGGTTTGGAAATTTACTTAAATTATGTCATACAAATTTTTGTTTTAAAAAGCCTGTTTTTATGAAAGTGTGGTAAATACGTTTATATATTTATTGAAATTTATGTTATACAAAAAATCTCAGAAACTGTTTTTTTTGCTTAACAAAAACATGTCTTTTTGAGTATTTTTAAAGTTTAACCTGCCTACTGAATAAATTAATAAATTGGATGCTATATTTTAACTGTGAAGAGATAGCATAATCACTTGTATTTTGGCTGGTAGCTAATTTTTTTAAATACAAAAATGCACTATAAATCTTTTTAATTTAATTTATAAAATTATTTTATATTTAATATTTTATTTATTGTAATATATGTATAATATATTTGATATTAATGTAAGTTTATAATTTTCTTTAGTTGCCTTTGCATTAAATACGTCCTTCTTGTTTTTGTTCTTTTTTAATTAAATCTTTACTTTTTACAGTCTTTCTTTGACCTCTTCAAAAGTTCTTCCAGCTATTTGTGACAATAAAGTTTCTACCAGCGCCCGTAAAATCAAACAAAAATAACAGTAGTCTCAGCCGCTAGCAGCACTTAATCAATCAGCGTGTCGGATTAACGCTTCGACTACATTATTTGCCTTTTAATTGAATTAAAAATTTTAAGCCCAAGTTGCTTTTGTACTTCCGTTTAAGTCATTCTTTGTGCTTCTTATGCTGCTTCCTCTTGGAAGCTTTTGAGTAAACTTTTGCTCAGCATTATTTGGAGAAGGTATTGAATGTATTATTTTATTATGTAAGTGGGTTCAAAATAACAGCGATTGGCAGCAATGAGTGGCTGTGTGAAGGGTTCTTTTCTGGAGAAAATATATAATTAATTATTGAAAAATATTTGGAGAGTTGAATTTTTTGCCAGAAGGATTGTTTTCTTTTTGTTTTTTTTTTTTTATGTAATGACTGTATAATCAATGGTGTGCTCTTAAGAAATATTTATACTTTTTTCTGAAATTTCGTTTTAGTATAAAGTCTACAATTGTTTGTGTAAATTATAAAATAAGAGTTTTTCTTTAAACGTTGAATGGTTCAGTGAGTATTTGCCCATTACATGTGGCTATCCGCAGTAATGCATCTTCATTACTTTCCATCATGCGCACACACACAGCTTACAAATACTTAAAAATGGCTATAAATCAGTCGCCTTTTTAGCTCTTTCAACCTATGACCAGCTGCAAAGAAGTCAGATATTTTCTCCAACTCCCCGTTAAGGAAGTAACAATTTCGCCTGACAGGTGCGAAAATTCAATTTAACAGATTTATAGATTCCACTATCTACAAATTTACGACTTTATTTTGCAAATTTTTCGCTGCAAATATTTTCTTGCAACCCACCAAAAGCGCAGACAAGACAAGACTCGTACGGCGTAGAGAAAGAGTAGCGAAGCGCTAAGAAAATTGAATGAAAAAAATTCAAGAAACCGAAAAAAGGGGACAGAGACTTAAACATTAAATTTTTTTTCGAGTTTTTATCCTTTTTTTTCTCTTTTTATAACTTTATATATTTTTTTCTTTTGCATGCAATCACTAAAAATCTGTATAAAATTCACGAAATTCCAGAAAGTAGGCTGTCTGTGCCATTAAGTAAAGTGCAAATAAAGAAAAGCAATGAATAAAATATGGAAATAACGAAATGCTGGGACATTACACAAAAGTGGGTGAAAGCACAAAAAAAAGGAAATTAAATAAAAGAAAAAAACACAAATTTAAAAAGGAACAATATTACAAATATATATATATAAATATATACATACATGTATGACTATTTCAAGTCAAGCGCTTTCAATACTGTCAACTTTGAGCAGCCTAAAATAAGAAATATATGTTTCAGTAATATATTTTCGGCCATTAATGGCAGTAGAACCCGTAGGCAAGCAATGTGATACATTTAAATAATAAAAAGTATTGAAAAAGTGTAAGAAATTTCGCTAGTTAAACAGCATTTACGCGAACGATGATAGGGTAAGTCTCTCAGTTATAAAATTCTTATTTGAAATTTGCTAGAAGTACAAATAAAATTTTCGTAAAATTTTAAATTTTTGCCGGACAGAAATTACTTTTTACTGATATAATGTTTCATTTAAGAAACTTGTAATTCTTTTTTAATTGTGAAGCTCATTTTGTTACGTATACGTACTGCCGCCCTTTTAAAAAAATTGTTTAAATTAAGAAAGACTATATTTAAAAAATTAAATATATGTTGGATTTTGATAAAAGTTGATATTTGGTTGAAATTCATTGTTGAAAAAATTAATTTTTGATATAAATGGATTTTTGATAAAAACGAATTTTTACAAAATATCAACTTTTATCAAAAACCAACAAATATTTAACTTTTTTCAAATAGTCTTCCTTAATTTAAATATTTTTTCAACAATGAATTCATTTTTTCAACAATGAATTTTTGATACAAATATATTTTTGATAAAAATTGTTTTTTAATTTTTCACACACCCGTGCGTATACGTCACCAAATTATTTTTACTTGTAAAGTGCATTTAATTACGAAAATATGGATGAAATTTCGGTAAAAACTTTTTTCGGAATAAAATTGATTATTTCAAAAAATTAATTTTTGCTAAAAATGATTTTTTGTAAAAATAATTTTTAATGAAAATTGAATTTTTATAAAAATTGATTTTTTAAAAAAGTTTATTTTTTACAAATATTTATTTTTGTTAAAAATAGATTTTTGATAAAAAGGATTTTTGGTAAAAATATTTTTTGATACAAATACATACAAAATTTTGTTTGATTTTTGTTGATTTTCCAAATAACCGTGCATATACGTAGCAGATTTATTTTCTGCTTGTAAATTTAGTTACGTATACGTACTGTCGATCCATTACAATACTCTTAAAAAGTTCTACAAAAATATGTAAAATATAGAAAATATGAAATTGCGATAAAAACTTAATTTCGTAAAGATTTTGTTTGCTAAAATTTAATAAAAATAGACATTTTTTTGATGAAATGAATTTTGAAAATTCTCTGTAAGTAAGGCGCACCCTTATAAGGCATTTTCAGTTCTTCTATTGTTGGTTGCTCTCGGCTTTTTTTTCTGGTTGTGAGCTTGTTCTTTTTACAACTTCTATATGCTGTTATTTTCGTTTCTCGACTAAAAAGGATACAAATTTTATCTGCAATTCCATTGATTTGAACATTTCAACAGTTTCATATTTAACATTGCCACAAAGGAAGTGCTAAAATGGTTCTCCTCATTCGCTATACAGTGCAATTTAGCGCGTCTCGATGCTGGTTTTCGGATGCTTGGTGGTGAATGAATGAAAGGAGGAGGTTCTTATGCCTAAAAATTTGTGAAAGTGCATAAAATGGTTGTAATTAGAATAATGAAAAAAACTGTGGACCCTAATATTTGTGTCCTAAATTTATGTATAGTAAAAGGTCTTTTGATTGGCAGACAATTTTTTTTATTTTCCTTAAATGTTTTAAAATTATAACACTCCTTACTGGTTTTGAAGTGGTGGAACTACCTTCCTTTCATCAGTACTGCTATGATTGCACTCCTTTTCATATCATTTTCTACTATTACTTTTACTGGAAACTTATTAAAACTTTATACCCTTATTTGTGTGCGTGACATTTGTCAAAGTGAGCAAATTGCGGAACTTGTCAAATTGTAAATAAAAAATTCTTTTATTCAATTTTCTTTGAATTGTGAGGTAACAGGCAGCCAACTGCTTACTTGTTTCTTCGCTTTATTCACGTATATTTTGAATTAATTATATTTGTTATGGGTTTTGTGCTGAACTGGTCGATTTTAAGTCACCAAGATTTTCACTACTTTTTTTTTTACTTATTTATTTAATTTAATTAGTCGAAAAAATTCAAATAAATTTAAGATCAGAAAAAAGAAATGCTATCTTTAAATGCTTTCAATTGTTTTGTAAAAAAAAATCTGGCTTAACATAAATATGTTTTACCATAAAATATGGTGTAATAGATATTACGGTTTAAATTAAATGTAAATGTAATGCTTTACACAAAGCAGTGCCTTGAATACGTTTTCAACTATGGTATAATGAAATTTTTTCTTAAAATAAAATATGGTATAACAGAAATTATGGTTTAATTTAACCTACGCTGTGCATCAAGGGAAGTTTAAAATGTTTTAATTAAATTTGAGTTATTAAGTAAAATGAAACAATGAAAATCGATGAACGGAAATTGATTGCTTTGAGCATCTCATCTTATAAACCTCTCATGTCATTTTAACTGATTTTTACATATATTGAACATAAAAAATGGGTACACAGAATCTATGGTTATAATACAAATCAAAATGAAGTTATTTTATGCTTGATTTACAGCTCGGACTGTCACCTTTCCAACGATATATAATATGTATATATTTCTTTCACGAGCGCCACTCTCAAACGATTCGAACGGCATCTAGCGGAATCGGGCACGAACTTATGCACTCAACCAATAATATTGCTTGCTCAAAATTTGTTTGAAGTCTGCTTAAAAGAAAAAAAAGTGTTAATGCCTTAAATACTGTTTTAAATAAAAATATTTTCAGCCATATTGCAATACAATTTTGGCTAAACATAAAATATGGCTTACCATAAAAAATGGAGTAACAGAAATTAGGTATATGCTATGAATATTGCTTGCAGTGGAACAGTAACTAAAGTATTTCTAATACAATTTTCGTTAAGCAAAAAATATGGCATAACATAAAGAATGGCTAAGCAGAAATTTTTTTTTATTTTCTCAATGTTATTTTCAAGCAATTTTATTTTATGAATTGGGTTTTTACCCAAAACTATGTAATAACCAAACAATTTTACAAGATAAACAAATAAGAAATCAAAGGTGAATAGGAGTAAACAAATTATTTGATTCTAAAATTTAAAATAAAAAAAAAATTGGAACAAACAAACACGAGGAGATAAAATTGTTTACAGAAAAGCCAAAATGCGTTTGGGGAAAAAAGTCAATATTATTTTTATTGTTAAACAAATTCGTTTGCTTTGCACGCTGGCGAACAAAAAATATTGCAAAACAGCGCCAAGTGGAACACTACCACAACACTGGTTGACTTTATCGCGACCAATGCGATTTTTAATATATTTTTGCCGCTACTCTGTGTGCTGTAAGCCCTGCACGGGGTTAAGTAAGGGGAGGATTTACAATTTTATTGTATACAACTTTAAATATTATTGTTGTTGTAGTGTTGTTGTTTCAACATTTTTCGCCTTTGCTTTGCTTATGCTTGCGGTTCACCAATGACTTTTGCTTTTGCCTTTATTGCAAGCTCGTTTTATGCTTCGTTGCGCTAAAATGCGGTGCTGGTGGTGGTAGTGGCGGTGGCGAAAAAAGCTGGAGGCGGGGTTGAGCGCAAAGTGGCTGAGGGGTTGTAAGCTGTAACTGCAGCGATTAAAGGTATTATTGCAGGGTGAAACACATTTTTTTTTGGTTATTTTAATTTTTTATCGGTTTTTTTGTTTTCTTGTTTATTCTTTTTTGTCCGCATATTTTAGCTCTTCTTCCCTTGGCTATTGTCACATTTTTAAGCTGCGTCGGTGCATGAAATTGTCATTTTGCGGCGTTAATCTGTATCACTTGCAATTTCGAGCGCCAGAGCGATTATATATGCGCGAATTTAAAGCCACTTACTATGCGCTGGTGGTTGATCCACTCGACCCTTATATATACCCATATATAAATGCATATTTATAGTCTTTCTTTGGTGGCAATCGCTGGAGAGTGGGTAAGGGATTGGTCGCTGTATGTTTTAATTGGTTATATCACAGGTCTAACGCATTTCTATTTGTATTTTAGCTGACTTTTTTTATTATACATAAAAATGCTAGTCCATTCAAAACTAGTTTGTAACTAGTTTATTATGTATATAGCATATGAACTAATTTACTATACTTAATTTTGCAACCAATTGGAAAACTAGTTTTATTCTCAAAATTACGCACTTTGCTTCCATAGCTCTTTCTATAGGCGCACACTCACGTGTATGTATCTCAGCTTCTACGAGTATCTTGAACAGCATTTTGCACTATACTACATTTGTATTAGATAAGTATTGTTCTGCTTTGCCAAGCCGGCAGACCACGAAATTGTGGCGTTTCTAAGTTCGTTAACGTTTCGTGGCATTTTCGGTCGCCAAGATTGAGTCGCTGTGGCTTTAACTGGTTCGCGGTAGCAAGTAGCAAATGTGGTTACAGCTGCGCTGCGGCGGTAAACGATATTCGTGAGTTAGCCGCATTGTGTTTGTTTCGCTCTTGTAATATGCACTTACACGCCTGTGGTGTCTACACATAACGGAGTGCCGATCGATAATAACTTGCAGCTGCGACGGCAACTATGGGAGGTGTTGATTCATGTGGTTAAAACATGTACATACGTGTATACCCATACATGAACACATGTTTATGGAAATTTTGGCTTTTACATTGCTTTATTTGAATTGATCTCGGTGAAAATGAAAATTTACCAAAAAATAGGTAAAAATTCTGAAAAGGTTTGCTCTTATGGTAGTATGAATATTTTTAAGGCTAAATATTATTAGAACTTCATCTCAAAAAGGACGACAGAGAATAGAACTAATGTTCTGTTAAATATCTCGTTAAAAGTCATAGAGACGAGGAGGTCCACAGGCTAGATCAGTAGCATTAGAATCAATAAATTTAACCAGCGTTTGCTGCAATCCACTCAAAGTAGACAAAACGAGGCCGTTAGTGGGATGCTTGCAATATTGGACTCTAATTAAGATTGCAACAAATATTTAAAGAAGAAGGCTTTCCATCAAATAAATGGTCACAAATAGAAGTTTTGCGTATAATTTAGTCATAAAACCCTGATTATTGCGATACCCAGCTGGCTTGATAAATTTTTGGGCTTAAAAACTTGTCCACTAGTAACTAGTGTGCGACTAATAGAAATAGAAGTATATTGGTAACTAGTTCTAAATAAGTTAATAGATGTTTTTTCATGAAAAATTAAAAAAAAATTTAAATGTGTATATCTGTCTGACAAATAATTAAAAAAAAGGTGTTTTGAAATTTCAGAATCATGATTTAGGAGAAGTTGTAAGTGTTTTCTCACGTTTTCTTTTGTACTACCATTTTTTTTTTACTTTTTCAGAAAGATTGCAGAAACCACAAGTAACTAGTGTGCAGCTGTACCAAATGGAAGTAGATTGAAAACTAGCTTGAAATAAGTCAGCTGGTGTTTCTGCTTAATTTTGAAAATTTGGTTAAAATATATTACCTCTTAACAAATTTATGTAAATTTTTTTGTTAATATTTGACTTCAGAGTCTTGTGTTAGTTGAAGGTCTTCTTTTGACTTTTTGGCGCTCGATAATTTTTTTGCTTTGCAAAATGAAATCTGAAGATGAAAACCGGTGATTATTTCTGGTTCCTTAGAGTATTAGGGCGCGCGCATATCAAGTAGATGGAATTACAAAACTAGTTATATATGAGCCAGTTGGTGTTTAGCTGTTTAATATAAAAAATTACACTAGAAGATCTTTTATGTTAACAGCGAGAATAAGGTCTTTTGAAATCATTGATTTTTGCACTCACCAAATTCTTTTGAAACTACTTTAAACTTAAATGAAAGCTTATTAGCTGGCTGGAGCTGACACGAAGTTCAAAAATATTTGCAGAATAACACCAAAGGTTTTGTAATTTATAATTTTTTCCATGAGAACGTATTATGATTTCGTGTTACTTCGTGTTTTAAGTTTGATATGTCAAAAATATAAAAAGGCTGTTAAACGAAATAAGATAAACACACTGAATAAAACTTAGTCAGCTGTTGTATCTTTCATTGTGATATTTAAATTAAAAAAACCCTTTTGAAAATTTCCATTAACCCACTGAGAATTACAAGCGCAACGAATGAAATGAGCGAGTACTGTGCACTCTCACTCTCGAGCTACTATGTTCGCCACTCGCTACACTCACAACATTCTTTGCTGCTCACTTGCATAATATACTCTCACTCACTGCCTTGTTATGTCTCTCATTCAGTCGTTGTTGTGTCGCCTGTAGCCAATTTAGAGTTTCCTTCGCTTCGATTATTTGTTCACCTGCCTCGCTATGCACAATCTTTCGCTACATGCTATTTCAAACACTAGGCTTATTATGTTTATTTGTATGCAGCTGTATGTATGTGTGTACAATTGCCTTAGTGTTTGTTTAATTTTATATACGATAGCATACATACTTACACCGTTACCTAAACACTCTTATGCATGATTGTATTGTTTATATTTTGTTGTTGTCAAGTGTTTAGTTGTTGTTCATATGTACGATTACAT